TTTTCCTTGAAGACTTTAGATGACACTAGTTATGCTTGCAATTGAAGGCCTTCTATAGAAAGAAAAGAACCCTGTGTTCCCCTTGGGATGCCTTCTTGCCCAGTCGCCTCAGTCCCAGAACCATGTGGGACCACATCTCTAGGAAATCCACAATAGTAACTAGGAAGGATGAAAATAAGTATTGTACGAGTCGAATTAATATAGTGATCTAGATATGTGGTGTTATTTTGGATTATTATCTCTTTATAGGCCGATAAATATTCTCATTTGCCATTTCTTTTGGCGTGGTAGTATTTACTGCAGTGCTATCATTATTAACTGATTGAAAGAATGATGACCGACCACTAACGAAGCAATTTATCAAAATGTGGATTGGCAGTAAAAGATGCTAGTATGTTCATGTTTACCTTCGCTTGAATATACAAGTGGAATTATCTTGTTGGACATTTATCACTATATATGAAATATAACATGTTTCTGCACAAATAAAAACTTGACTGTGATTTTGGTGTATTTAATATATTTGTTAGCGCAATTTTATATTTGATGATTTTGGCATAAATTTGTTTGGTTAGCTCTGGTTTGAGATTTCCATTTGATGGTTGTTTAACTCTCTCACTAGTTTCCACATCGGTCAATACTAATTGCATTGTGGTGAATTTTTTTTTACTAGTTTCTAAATCGGTTATCTTATTTGCTGAGTACAAAATACCTTTTGAGGGTTTGCACAATATCCTGAGTTAGCTACCTATTTAACAAATTAGTTGTGCCCTGAACCAGATGTTAATCGTTTGGAATATAAACAACCGATGTTAATAGGTTTGCACTCAATGTAAAGTTCCTCACTTTCTACATTGGTTGGATAAGACTGGAACATCATCTTATATTAAAAGCCATTTAACCTGATTTTGAAAGCATTTTATGCACTAATATATGGGACTACAATCACATATTAATGCTTTTCATATTAGGCAGATGCCAATTTTAGGAATGAAGAATGTATAAACAGAATAGGTCTGCAACATCTTTACAATTTAGATAGGAATTAGGGCATATTTTGCTTGTTTAACCCAACTCTAGCTGTGACCGAGCTTAGTCTTTGCTTGCGCACATCCTGCAAGAAACAATAAATACCCTTTGTGCCAATGTGGATGCAAAACTAAACCAAATGGTAAACATATGTTATGGGTTAAGTTATGAGTTCGAATTTGTGTCAACTGGTATAAACTTAAATTTGATATGGAAGCGATATTTTTATAGCACTATTTATGCTCGGAATGGAAGGGCCTTTTTATTGAAAGAAAAGAACTTAAAAGACTACATTCCACGTCTCAATTAGGACATGGAATAAATCTATTGACATTCAACAAGCACAACACATAATACAAGACATTCAAACCTTTTAGACTAACAAATTATATGGACATACAAGACAATCAAGACAACCCCTAAAAAGTACTACTCCCTCTTGTTTTTAATAAATGTCGTTCTGTGTAAAAGCACAAGAATTAAGGATTCTTTTTTTTGCCAATTTTAGCCTTATTTAATGAGAATTAACATTAATTAATTATTCTCTTTTGAGCTTTATTATGTGGTTTTAATGAAGAAAGACTCTTCATCTTCTTCATATTCATATGGAGAGACGTATTGGAAGATGGATAGGGACAAAAATGGAAAAATATGAATAAAAACCTAAAACGTCATTTATTTAACTAATGTCAATAAAGTCAGAACGACGTTTATAAAAAACAGGAGGGAGTACTAAAAGAGCACTAAATTCATTTGGCCCTCAAACTTAGGCAATCATTTTCCACGACCATAGTAATTGTTGAACGCTTGGGATTGGTCCTGATCATCGCCATGTGTTCCCGATTGAACTCCTCCTTGTCTAGTCGCCTCATTTCCTGAACAAGATGGGATCACATCACTAGGAAATACAAAGTTGTGCGCTTGGGATTGGTCCTCACGATAGCCCTGTGTTCCCGTTGGGTCTCCTTCCTGTCGAGTCGCCTCATTTCTAAAACCAGGTGAGACCACGTCATTGGGAAATACGTAGTTGAAACTAGGAAGCATAATACCAGAACTACTAGCCTCGTCAGGGTTCGAGAATGTGTACCCATAGCTACCCAGTGTTGGGTCAAACGGGTCGACAAATCCATTATTAGTACCCATCACGTCCGGAAAAAATTGGTTGCCCGAGCCTTGAACATTGTTGTGGAACCCGACATTTGGGTTGCTACTCGCCCCAATGTCGAATAACGACGCGTAATCACTCAAAGACCCGTTTTGGACCAACGGAGCCCCGTAAGTGGGCCCACTCATATTTGGATTTGATGGGAAACCAACACCGGACCCACCCTGCAAGACCCCTCCTCCGGTCCCTGCATTTGAAGTCACGACGTTCTTGATTTTGGTTTCGAAGATACGCTTCAAGTTGGTCGCCGATTTCTTCAACTTCTTAAGTTGCTTGTAATTGAGGTTGTCGAGGTCTGGGGGGCTCCCGATCTGGGCCCGACTAGCCTTGATTGCCTCCTTCTTTTGTTTCTTCTCCCGCTCCACTTGGGCCTCTAGGTTGGTGAGCTCCTGGATACGGTGGCGCATGATTGGATTGTTAGATGGGCCCATGTCGGTCCAATTGTTCTCGGGCCTCCCGAGGGCGACCTGGCTGAGGAACCTGTTGGTGATGGCGTCTACGCTCGGGTTCCCGAATGAGTGGGCCTTACCGCTCGGAGAGAATACGACGACAGCACTCTCAGCTCCGCAGAGGGTGCTGAGCTCGCTCGCCTTCTTGAAGAGGCCAGCGCGCCTCTTCGAGAACGTGACCTGGCGGTTGGTCTCGTTCTCGATTCTTGCAATCGTAATCTTTTGGCGGCCCTTGTTCTTCCGCGGCCCGTTGTTGTTTATCGAGGGGTTGTTTTGTTGGGAGGAGTCCATTAGTGGAGTGCAAAAGGTGAGGATGTTTTGGTGTAGGGATTAGAACAATGTTAAGAAGTTTGTGGTGTGTTTGGCCATGCAATTGTAGGGAGCTATTTATAGGAGAGGGGCTATTTCGTTTTAACAAACAATCATATGCTCCCTATGATTTTTTAGTATTTATGAAAAATCACATTTCTAGATTCTCTTGAATTGCATATAGATAGCAATTGGCTTTACATAAATGAGAGAATTCTACAAGTATTATGAAAGTGAGGACTAGTCAAGAGATAATATCAACAACAACAAACAGTAGATTTGATTTATGATTTTGATAATGTTGAAATTAATCCAAAATCTATTTTGATTAACTCAGCACTAGTATTTCTCAGCCAATGCGCTAAATCCAATTTACAGATTATCGACTAATTATATATAAAAGTTAGAATTGCAAAATATATCCAATGACTTAATATAGATTGCAGAAAAACTACACGAACTAATTAAATCAATTACATTATTACATTTTATCAAACACGTGGTTTAATGAGTATTTATTATTATTATTATTATTATTATTATTATTATTATTATTATTATTATTATNACCCGGCAATTTTTTTTCGTTTACCCTAAGTTACTTGTCATATTTATAATTTTTATTTTATGATATACTATGAATAGTTATAATTTTTATTTTAATTTGTTTATCTTTTATTAAATTTTTAAAATATTAAGGCGTGTGTACGTGCATTCTTATCATTCTAAAATAAGTTTATGATCCTACTTCCTACATGACCAATTGTTCCACCATTGTTCGAGATCATATATGATAGGAAAATCTGATGCATGTTTCTTTGATCGGTCAAAATTAACTGTAATCATGATTATTGTATTCCCATTTTTCTCCCACATGACTTAATTTTTAAAATATACTAATTGATGTATCATTATATTTAAAAATATTACTGAAAATTGTGTGTACAAAAAATTATCATTTTCACTCGTGCACTCTTTAAAATAGTATAGTTTGCATTCATTATTAATCAATGTAATTTTATATTTATGCATATTTTGAAATTTTGATTTATTTTAGATGCCAAAGTTATCAAATTTATTTGGTCAGCGAGACGACTAAGTTTACAAAATGTCAAGAGTTTTGTTAGTTTTGATATTGTATTTGTATATGATATATTATATACATATATTTTAATTTTTACATCTTTATAAACACACATCTACCAAATTCGAGAGCATTTAATTTTTACATCTTTATGAACACATATCTATTAAATTCGAGAGTATACTTGTATAATAAAAAAAATTATCATTAAATTAAAAGAAATCATTTTAATTATTGATGATTTATAATATACAAATAATTTGATATTTTTATATATAGATATGAAATGTTGGTTTGTTCTTTTATATTGCCAATTTGAGTGTTAAATTGAAGTTCATTAAAGAAACGATTAATTTGATACATTACACCTAAAAATAGGTAAATAATTAACTAGTTAGTAGTTACTAAAGTTTTGATAGTGGCATTATTTTTTTATTTAGTAATAGAAAATATTAAAAAATTTGTCTGTAGTCTATTTAAGGTATTGGTTTATATAACATATCTATAAAGTAATTATTTTAATATATTTTACTATTGATTTGAAATATGTTTAAATTCAGCAAGAACATAAAATGACTATAAAAAGTACTCTATTTAAGTTTGAGTTAAAATAAAATATACAAAGAGATGTAATTTTATCATAGTATTTAAAAAATAATATATTATTATAATAAAAAAAATTCATTATATTTCATAAAATTTTAAAATATTATTTATACACATCAATTTATATTTATAATTATTAAATATTATAAAATTAAAGATACCTTAAAAGATAATAGATGGAAGTAACGGCTATATAATATAAATTCTAATCACAATATAACAAGCTAGGAAAAATTTCAAAAAGTTTAAAATCAAATTTATGGAGTTGTAGATAATATTTATTTCAAAGATATACAACTTCATACACTACAAGAATGTGATGAAATTCTAATGGAAAATTTCAACAAAAAATATATTCCAATGGAATTCCAACGATAATTTCAATGGATATTCCAATGCTATTATTTTCGTTAGAATTTTTCAATGGATTCCAACGGAAATTCCAACAAAAACATTCCGTTGAATGAATTTTCGTTGACGATTCCAACGTTTGAAAATAAAAATTCTAATGGTAAAAAACCGATGGAATAATGGCCGTTGGAATGATAAAATTTCATATAAATTCCAATAGAAAACTTATTATAACATAATAATTCCTTTCGAATTTTCATTTGAATCACTCCAACGGAAGCTATATCATTGGAATATCCGTTGTAATTTTCTATTATAATATATTACCGTAAGATTTTCCGTTGAAATATGACATTTCTTTTTTGTAGAGATAAATGTGACTAAATTTTTTATCATCTTTGAAAAATTGAGTGTAAAAACAAAGGTGTCATTTTAGATAATTTTAAATATCGAGATATGCATAATATGGAGCCATTATAAATTCCTATACTTTTATTCAAATATTTTTGTTTCATACATCCGTATAGTATATGAGTACCGTAGTACTACAAAATATTAATACATATGACCTCATTGATATAAGTTTACATGTGATTCGCTTGATTTATAATTGTAATTCTATCTTTTGTCTCTTATTAGAAAATCTAAGACTAGGATGTGGAGATCTGGCTATTGAATGGAGGAATCAAGTTAGTTTTGTTATATTGTTAAAGGTTACACAATTGAATTAAATAATCTTCGTTTAAATTTCTTGTGTAGTGCTTGAAAATCACATGTTCTGATTTACTGATTGTGTAAGGAAATCAACCCAAATTATGTTACCACAATCATCTTTATATATAAGTGATNGAATAACATTAAATATATAAGTGAAATATTGTTGTGGAATATGTTGCAAAATAGGAGCATTGTGTTTTATACATGAGATTCTTATTAAATTTGGCTATTAGTAGTGTTGAATATAGATACAAATTTGGTTGAGAAAATTATAAATATTGCTTGCATATTAATATTGCCCACTGAAGGATAATTTTAAAAAATTAAAGTTTGATAATAGCAAATATGCTTCATTTCAATGTTGTTCAATATTGCGGGTTGGGTTAAAAGAGAGTAATTTTTTGTCCGACAAACTATAAATTGAGAGCTTCATAGCAATTCCATTGCAACTTGTTATGCAATTGTATTAGCTATTTGTATTAATATTATGGGTAATACTACAGTCTCGTTACAGAATCATTTCGTTGAAATTTTTAATCGTTACATGCACGTGTTACAATGAAAAATTTCAACGGAATGATTGCGTAACGGGACTATAGTATTTTCCTAATATTATAGGCATAATTTTAAAATCCAAACATTTATCTCAATCACATTATTCATCCTGAGCTGTTGTATGCTTAGTTGGCACCAAGTTGCTTTAAAATGTTTCGATTCCATTGATTGTTTTGTAGTGTGGTCCAGACCCAAACTAGAATTTCAAATGGGTGAAGCCCAGGCAATAGTCATATTTGTCCAGAAGCATAGAGCCCAATACAATTGGTTTAATTAGTACTAGCTTGTGGCTCTTTTACAGTTTTATTTTCCTTTTTGAAGTGTTTGCAAAATACAAAATTCAATGTAAAACCATACATAAACCAGTCATAAATGAGTTTATAAACAATATATACCTATATATATGTATATTCAATACATAAAAACTAGAAATCAATGATAAAAATAAATTACAGAACAACTATTCATAAACAGTGAAAGTTAGTATATTTTCAAATAAAAAATGGTTTGTAAGTGAAAGGTATAAGTTCTGTCTCTTAATTTGTCCTCAAATATTCGCTAGTGTTATAACTTATAAGAGAAAATCAGGCTGTCATCTACAAATCCTTATTCATTGCATAACTTATAAGAGAAATCAGGTTGTCATCTACAAATCCTTATTCATTGCATATTTATGAAGTTTTTATTTTCAACTGCAAATAAGCTAACGTTTAATATTTATGAATGATCCACTAGAGGTGTATTTTCGTCATTGCTTCCTAAATTGCACATTGCTTTATAATTTATAACTTATTTATAAATAATTTGTGTATTATTATTATTTTAATGTTATATTTTTATTAGAAAAATCCAAATTTCCAGAAACATGTAAAAATACGGCAATATTTAAATGTCTAAGAGAAAGCCCGTTAGGCCTTAAGATCCAAAACTATATGCGTGGAACCCAGAATAGCCTTACTCTTGAAAAAATAAACAAAAACAAAAAATAAAAGTTGCGTATTATATTAAATTAACTTAACTATGTCCATTGAAATTGCATTTACCTTATGAATGAAATTTTGAATATGTCTATGAATAATTGTTTTACCATTTATTTAAAATTTGCAATCAAACATGACATTAGCCAACCACATGCTATGAAAAGCCCAAGACAAACGATAAATTTTTCTATTCCGAAATTGTGTTTGGTTTTCATATTTCATTCAATGAAGACGTGTTCTTAAGACTAATCACTTTATATTGATTCTCAAATATTTAATGTTGACATGAATCATGAATGTAAATATGTAATGTTAATATGTTATCATTGTTCTATTCTACTAGTACAGAGCCCGTGCGATGCACGGGGTGTACAATTTTAAGGCTATTTATCCAGACTTATAATTATATACATGAATACAGAAAAATGTACGGGATATATATAGTACGTGACCCGTGCGAGGCACGGGATATATTTATTTGAGGAATACTATATTATAAGATGCAATATTCAATAAAAGTTTTATAATACGCAGGAAAATTATACAATAAGATAGTATTCGACAAACAAACAATCATATATTATTAAAGACCACCTTGTACACAACATTATGAGTTTGATTTTCCATACAATAATAATAAGATTTTTTGTAAAAAGATAAGAAGGAATTTTCAATCTACACAAACTTTAAACATTAGATGTATTTACGTAAATCAATGACTATATAGACAACTAAACCCTTCAATTTAGGCTTGACATCTACTTTATTTATGGGAGACGTAAAATAAGGATTTAATTTTGACCGATTAAATCTTTATTCATAGGCTTGACATATAAAACTGATTTGATGGGATTTTCTTAACTAAACCGATGCTATGGGACAAAGCAAATCTATACTTACCTTTGACTTTTCCAGCAAAGGTAAAAAAATCGGTTCTGATTTTTATCCCATAACAAATCTTTAATGTCAAGCCTATAAATACCAAAACAAATCTGTAATTAATATCATTCTATTTCCAGCAAGCATTAATTACCTTTGACTTTTCTGCCTATTATCTCTAGTAAATAGGATGACTTTTTATATAAGTATAGATTTCATATAATGCAAAGACTGAGATCATAAAAAAGAATCCTAAAAACTGAAACAATATATTTTCATAATTTAAGGCCATTAAGAAATCGATCTCTAAACCAGATTTGATTTTCAGAATATGTTTTTTCATTTCGAATTCCATACAAAATGGAATTCTTTCCAACCAATAGATGTCATAGCAAATATTAACTCTTAACTATTAGACTATTAGTACATACCGAGCAAATTGTGTACTGATTTTAGAAAGTTAAAATGATTCATGTTAGGTAATTTTACATTTTATGTATGTTGAACGGTGGGTTTTAAATATTGTTTCATAGAATGTAAAAGCGTATTATATTATTTTTATGAGATGTTGAATTTGAAAATTAATAGAATTCTTTTTCATAGAAATTTTAAATGTAACAATATTCTTTGGTATACACTACTAATAAAATCTATATTTAAAGTTTATATTTTTTTTACCGGAAAAAATTCCTTAATTTAAGGAATCATATATCTTCAATCAGTCCACATCTATATACATTCTTCACAATTTTAAATCTTGAATTTGATGAGAATTTGTATCTATGAGTGCAAAATATGGTTTAACAATTAATTTTTTATTATTATTCCAGCCATACTTCTTTATACGATTTTTTGTGAAAATACAAAAGTAAATTCTTAATTTTAAACAGTCGTACATTAAAGAGTACAAATTTGTTGAAATTACAAAATTATATTTTTACTTTTAAACAGATGTAAATTTAAATCAATTACAAAAAGGAATATTTGTTTACCATTTAAACATTAAATCAGCCGTAATTAATGTTGTTTGTTTTAGTTGCCACGATTTTCTCCAAACTAAATTAACAACTGCCATGATTTAAGGGCAACATTTAATGCTGCTCTATTTTTAGGGGACATTAAATGTATTTGGCGGGAAAAACTTGCTAAAAATGTTAAATGGTTAATCTTTTAATATAATGATAGATACGTTAAAAAATTTAAATAAATCACTTGGCATAATGCTATAGTGAAGGTTTGAGATGTTTTTATATTGCTATAGTGAATGTTTTTATATTGCTCTATATTGACAATTGTTCACATCATTATTATTTAATTATTGGGCAATCAATTGATTTTACTCTACTTGTTTATATCGAGAGAGATATATTCAATAGCATTATAGCGATGCTATAATGCATCAGCTTCAAAATAGAGAATAGAGAATTGTTAAGAATTTTTTTTTCTTTTTTTTGTGAGATGAATTATTTTAAAAAATCTTTCAAGTACTTTTTTTGTTTGCCCCGACTGATATAATTTTTTTCTCTGCCACTATATGAACATGCGTGAAAACTTGTAAAAACACATTTATTGAGCACCATTCGATAAATTCAAAATTATAATGTTTTGATTTCAGTTAACTTCTACTAACTAGTAGTAATATCAGTATTATGGGCCAAGCTCACAAAGTATGAATCAAATTATAATTATTTTAATTAATTGAAATCATGAAAGTGAAAAATTGGAGATTAATAAACTAAACTAACATATTAAAAATCCAAAAAAAAAAGACAAAAAAATGATTAATTATATATGGGAAAATATTCTATTTCGCGGTTCAGTTTATGTTCTCCCTTGACTAGTTTAATCAATCGTGACACCAAGTTTCAATGTCTTTTAGCATTAGTAACCCTAAATAGCAATATACTCTACAACTTGATTTTTTCCTTACAATATATTCAATTGAAACATAATTTCCGGTTAAACATAACTATTGAACAATATAAGTTATGATATTTAAATTTAATGTAGTAGCAAATTTGAAATATAGTAAAATAGGCTAGTCCAAGAATACATTCACGCTCGACCTTGGAGTTATTCACAATATTAGTAGATACCAATTATTACTAGCGAATCAAATTCAACAATAATTACGGATTGTATGTTGATTGTAGGTTCATTTTAAGGTATTAAATATGCAAAACTCTATCTATGTCACTCCACGAGGACTGATCTTGAAAATTACATGGCTACCTTTGACATGTTCCCACATTAGCCATTTTTATCGAATGATCATTGCAATGTAGATCATTTCCTTTTCTATTTTTTTTTTTTTTTCATCTAAAGAGAAAAGGCATATGTTACAAAAGGAAGCATATATCCTTTTTATTTGCCTAATTGCATGTAATCAACACAATATTAATATTAGACGTTTCATTGTTCCATTCTCTTCCTTAACTACCCATTAAACTCACAACAACTCATAAGCAATTAAGAATAGGTTGACAAATGGTAAAAACAATCTACCAATTATATCATCACCACATACAAAACGTTTGACATTTACCTTACAATGAATAGGCCAAACAAAATCCCTAACATTAACTAACAACGATTTTCTAACTCCCATATCAGATTTCCTCAAATCCCCAAACACATGAATTTCATGTCCCCCTATAAAATCCCCATGCATGTTATGTTCTCTTCAATCCCAACNNNAAAACATTTTCTTTAAAAAAAAAAATCGCCATGGCCAAAAAGCCAAGCATGGGCCGCCAAAAGATCAAGATCGAGAAAATCGAGGTAAAAAACCACCTCCAAGTCACCTTCTCCAAGCGCCGTTCAGGCCTCTTCAAGAAGGCCAGCGAGCTCTGCACGCTCTGCGGTGTCGAAATCGCCATCATAGTCTTTTCTCCCGCCGGAAAAGTCTTCTCGTTCGGCCACCCGAACGTTGAGTCCATAGTCGACCGCTTCTTGGCCCGAGGCCCGGCCCATATCCCAAACGGGCCGGGCCTGGGCCCGTTCCACCTGGTGGAGGCCCATAGGAACGCGAGCGTTCGTGAGCTGAACATGCAGTTGGGCCAGATCCTGAACGAGCTCGAGGCCGAGAGGAAAAGAGGGGAGGAGTTAGACGGGATGCGTAAGACGGGCCAGAGCCACTATTGGTGGGAGGGCCCAATTGACAAATTGGGCCTGGATGAGCTCCAGCAGCTCAGGGATGCTATGGAGGAGCTAAAGAGGAATGTGGCGGGCCAGGCCGCCAGGATAGCGGCTGGGCCGCCTGGCCCGATTTATGGGCCCAGCGGGGTTTTTGATCAGTATGAGAGCAAACCGGGCCAGGGGGTTGTTGGGCCAGGTATTGGTGGGCCGGGCGGGAGTGGGTTTGGGTATTGTCATGGGTTTTTCTGAGGATGCGGGGGTGTTCTGTTTTTTTTCGGGTACTTGATTTGGTGGGTTTTTGCTAGTAGCTCACTAGCTGATATTGAAATTTTTCTTTTATTATTTTTTTAATTTTCTTTATTAATTTGGGAATTTGAAAGAGGGAGTGATGAATTCATTTGGTAGAGTGAATCAAAGAGAGTATGTTATTATTTATGAAATGAAATT